ATTTCCGTTGATTTCGATTTAAATTTACATATTTTTGCCTTTGAGATTACAGAGTATCGTTGTAAAGAAATCCATTAACATTTACAAATTTAATGCTAAATTAATTATATTTTCGCAATAAGAATTATTTACGCTGTTTTTATCGACAACATCGGGCCTACTATAATGAAAAATTAATTTTGCGTAATAAATCTTTAATATGTAGGCTACGTTTAATAAGATTGTTCTGTGATTCTGCACGGAATACAATCGGTATTACGGACAGCAGTTTCTGTTTTAAATTCCGTCTGGTGTTCGTAACTAATACAGTACATTCAGAATATCTACGTTTTGTTATATAATCTAGTCTAAAACACTTTGATTTTAAGATTCCGTCAAAATGCACAGAGTTTGAAATCAAATTTTAATTACTATTTCATATATTATTTAGTACGGAGTGATTACAGAATTCCCATGTATGCTAGCCAAGGTTACAGTATCTGTAAGCTCTCCTCTATTCTCCACACAAATTTTTTCTCCATATTCTTCTAGATATTATTCATCTTTGTTGACGACTGGAAATAATTAAAAACAGATACAGTATTAAGGACTGCTTTAAGTCTTCAATTGCTGTAAAACGAAGTTGAGAAATTGTCTTTAATAACGCTCCCAAAGAGAATTGTAACTTGCTATTCCGATTGGATGCATGAGTCTATGTTTCTCTTGAAGGAACCAAATATCAGAAACAACGTGTTCCAGAACATAAATTAAACAACATTACAAGTTTTGCTTATTGTAATCAGGAATTCGTTTATAATTATCATTTTGTTGCTAATGATAAATTTCAAATTTACTTAGACGGTTAATTTAATAACAGCCAACTGACAAAACAGATATTGTAATCAGGGGCGAATTCTCTGGGCTTGCTTAACATGCCCCGTATGCTTAAGAGAAAGTTTTGACTGTCAATATATTATGAGAACAAATTTGACAATAATAATTTATTGTAACGTTATTCGAAGCATTTAACATGGCCAGATTGTATCGAAAGCTTGCTGTACCCAGTCAGCATACATATATTGTGTACAGGGACGGATCTACATAGGGACTAATAGGGCTTAAGCCCTGGGCCTCCAGTGTCAAGGGCCCACAAAAATTGAATTATCATCATAAATTTTTAATACTTTTTCATTATAATATATTTCACGTGTAGTTATAAATATATAATGGGCTTTATAATAGTCCATACTTTTTTTATTCACACCAAATAACGTTTCTGTCTATTGTTTAATGCTAGAGATAGGCCTATTATTCTTAATATAACTTTCAGCATGCCCAAAAATTTTGGTCAGGATTCTCCCGATTGTAATAATGTTGTTCCAATAAAAGCATTAGCGCAGCGGTAAATCAAATTAAATCATATATTTAACCTACTCTTAATACGTCAAACGTTCGATTTAATCTTGCACTTAATATTGTGTACAATACTGCAGTTTAAATTTCGATTTCTGGCATTTGGTTACCTCTTTTTTTTAGTTTCTTCTTATGCTTTCTTCCCTACGGGCACTCAGAGAGCTCTTTTGTCAAGTCCATCATGAATTCGTCCAAACACACAAGCGGACTGATACCCGACATATACGAGACGAACCATCCCGAAAAATTCCAGGGGTTTTTCGACCCGTCCGAATACATTCCTGGCTCTCCCGAACGGTAAGCCGATGCATTAACCTCTCGGTCATCCATCCCTTATATATTCGACTCGCAGTCTGCTATTGTTGAGGGCTGTAATCTTCATTCCTGTTCAATTAAAGTACAATACTGTGGATTGATGAATATGGCAATGTAACACATGGGCGATCTGCTAAAGCAGTGCCTCCCGGGATGTCTTTCTGGAAACTGACCCCTATTTAAAAATTAAATACGTGAAGAAAACTCGGACAATGCATTCGTGGGGAGAGAACCTGTTATAACAAAAGCAGTAAATAAAAATTGCAAAAACGTGTTTCGCCGCATATTATCATCAGTATATAGCCTAGCCCAAAAGCGATCACAATAAGCGGCACTTACAGTATAAAGAAAATACAGTATCCGTTAATGTTACCTATGGTGCCAAAATGGCGGCGCTTCGGTTAGGTTCGTTCCGTTTCCGTTAAATTAACTACATTTTTAATAGACGTTTCCTTTTATTTATTTATTTTGTTCAAGAACTACCGTGAATCAATAACTAGCGACGTTTGGCACTCGGCGGCTCCCCTTCGGGAAGAGTCCGTCTGGACCACGAACAGTCGGAAGCTCGGCCATTTTGGCATCATAGGTAACATTAACCACAGTATTTTTAAAAATTAAACTCAAACTTTCTCCTAATGAAGCAATATTCAAATAAATTGTATTTAAAGTTCAGTCACGTTGAATAATAATAATAATAATAAAGAAAATAAACCTCAATATTTTCTAAGATCTTTTCGTGATGTTCGATGTTATTATTAAGCGAATCTTGCAATTCTTCAAACTTTTTAACTTCTTCGGGCAATTTAAATAATTGTTTAATTGAATCTTTTATATCCATCATTAAAATGATTTTCCAGCAGCAACAACAAAATGGCGTCTGATTTTAATTTTATAGCGACATCTACAGGAGTTAATTGTAAAATAATTAAAATTTCAAATATTTATTGATATTTTAAATTCAATATTTTTAATTTTCAAATGATTTAAATATATATAAAAATATTTAAAATTTTTACAAATGTATTTAAATATTGCATTTCTAAAAAAAAAACTCTTCTACTTCAGATGAATAAAATAAAACCACACTATAAAAAAGCATTGTTTTTTTTTAATATTCAATATCACACTGTTTATTTACAGTTAAACAAATACAGTTAATTCCATTCATTCAGAAAACTTGTCTGAAACAACTTACTTATGACCACTTTAACTTATAATTACATATTTTAATATCACTTCAACATATTAAATTGTTGTTTTATATCAGGATAAAGCAATAAAATATTTTTTTTCTCTTCATTTCTTTATAAATGAGAATATGCAGATATACAATAATTTTACACATTACATAACAGTATTTTCATATTATATAACAATTAGCCAAAATATATATATATATATATTTTTTAATATGGAGAATATTGACTTTGTTTAGCTGAATTTTATCCACATTTAAGGATATACCATTCATTAAACATACCAATGCCAATTAATTTTGGCATGTTTAATGAAATTTAAAGAATGCATCAAAATACATGATTGGAGTGTGGATTTGTGCCGGTAGGTATATTTGCATAGATGTTCTACAATACAGTTTTCTTTTTTTTTACATACAGAATTACATTTCACATTGTAACATTACACATATACTGTATATTTATTTACAACAGATTTAACTCTAAAGCCGTGATTATATTATTATTAATTGAAAATCAATAAAGAAAATGAAAATTACAGTAAAATATTAACTGATTGTACATAATTTTTGTAGTCTAAGTAAAACATTAAAGAAATTTAAATAGATATAATAGATTATAGTTTCAAAATCAGAAATATGATTATGTTTTGGGATAATTCTTTTAACAACTGATGGAAGTATGTAATTTAATACTTAAAACTTGGCTCTAGATTGCACCAAACACACAAACTGTATTTGAAATTGATGATGATATGATGTTGTTGTTTAATATATCCCTCAACACAATAATATTCTTGTTTGAATTGACTATATGAATGATACTCATTAAAATTTGCACATCTCATTATTGTAGAAAAAAGTTGCTTGGAACCATTTCTCAGTTATTAAAAGATATATTCTAATAAATAATATTTATAAACATAAATTTTCAGAATATTAATATCATAAAATATTTATTATTGATTTAAATTGATATGCTTTGAGCTAAATATTTATTTTACACGCATTTCTTTTTATTAAATAATTCAAATTTATAAGTAGTTTTATAAACTAGATCATATTATATTTTAAACTGAATAACATTTTCTCAAAAATAAATGCAAAAAAAAAACAAACAAACAATTACATCAAAAATATTTAAAAATCAAACTAAATAAAAATTATTTAATTTTAACAAATGATTTTATAGAATAAATAATAATACAAAAATTAACTAATATTATATGGATAAATAAAAAAACTTTATACATATATATTCTTTTAAATTAATGCTTTATATTTGGATAATAATTTTATGAATTCTTATAAGAAAAATTATATATATTCACATTTACTTCCTGCATACCTCAATATATAAAACTGGAAATCATTAATGAATTTGTAATAAAATTCAAAGTTGTTTTTTCTTTTCCTCTAGCATTAAGTACTATATGATATCAATTTCAATAGTTCTTAAAACAAATTATTTTATTTATAATTTTTCAAATTGTTTATACTTAAAAGTATAACAATATAAAACATTTATCAGACCAATAACATATTCTCTCTTAAAGTAATAACTATAATTACAATTAGAAAAATTATGTATTATTTCATTCATATACATATGAATATCTTTGAAACAATTAAATACATTGCAAATTCATACAAAAAAAATTAGCAAAATCTGATTATTAATTCATAATTTTTTTTAAAAAGAGGATTGATATTAATTGTTCAATATTAATTTGTTAATAAAGACATAATATGAAATTATTGTGCATATATTGTTACAAGAAAACAGAATAATTATGTAGAAATATTAAAAATGATAAAATTGTCTATAATACTTTCACTCTGTTACTTTCATTTTATGTTAATAATCACTTTTATATATGTAATTTTGTTCAAAATTATATTTCAAAATCAACCTGAGTTATGACTGGTTATTTATTATGAATGATAAATATTATGAAATATTTAAAATACTTAAAAATATAAATGTCTAAAAGTGAAGATGAATGTGTTGATGAAAAATTCTTCAAGACTTATAATGACGAATACTTCTCATTATTCCACTCGTTTTAGGACTCTGTACATCAAGACTTTTAAAGCCCAGAAATATCAATATTTAGCAATTACATGGAGAACTATTACATCCAGAAAGCAGATATTTCTGCTTTGAAAAATAATTTTTAATACCATTTTAAACATTTTATTACAGTTCATCTGTCTCCATTTGCATCACTAGAATGTGTAGGATGTGGATCAACCTAAATAAATATATAATAAAAAGTTTATTAAAATTTTCTTGAAATTCAAAATGGAATGGATTATATAATGTTAAGTTTACTTAGTATAAAATATTCAGTATAGATTTAGTAAATATTTATTTAGAAGATTGTATTCAATTCATAATTGCAAAAACATTTTAAAATAATTTAGATATTAATGACTAAACAGATAAATGTTGAAAGTTAAAATCAAAATTGCAAAACAAGTTTTGTCCTACAATTTTAGTTCTAACTTTTCAAAATATGCTTAGAAATATAAGCCAACTTTGTTTAAATTTTGAAAATTTCATTTAGTTTAAGTACATATTATTGCACTTGTTTTATAAAAACAACAATTTCTGATTAATCACAAATATTTATTCTCAAAATGGAAATAGAATTCATTAACTCAATAAATAAAAATAGGAAGCATTACAGAACTTACAAAGCCATATAATGTTAAAAAATTAATTTTATAATGAATGTTTATGAAATTGATTTAATAAATATGACATCAAATCAATATTTGTTATATATTTAGTCTATTATGGCCAGATTATAGGACAAAACAAAATTAAAAATGAATACAAATTCCTTCAACACAAAATACAAAATTATTTAAATTACTTGATATTTTTCAATTTATAATTGAAAGTGAATTTTTAACTTTTCATTTTTCTATTACCAGAAATAGTAACAAATTTTTAAAATTATAAGTAAAACAAATTATGTTATATAATTAAAAGAAATAAAAGTTCAAATTAAAAAATAAATGATAAAATTTTAATAGTTCAATTCTTAATTTTATAATAAGATTATTAAGACACTTTTATTTAGATTTCACTTTCAATTCAGAATCTCTACATTAATGGTTATTTGAAGTCAATAAATTCTTATTATTTTTAGAAATTAAAAAAGAGAAAGAAAAAAAAAAAAAATAGAAAGAATTTGAATTATTCATCAAATACAAACAATTACCTCTCTAATCATCAAATACATATAAATATTATATATTTGATTTGACATCTCTGTGAATGATTTAGCAGTAAAAAAATAGAAAATATCCAGAATTATATCAATCTTTTTCATATACAACATTTCCAATAGTTTATATCTAAGACTGTTTCATTCAGTCTTAGATATAAACTATTGGAAATGTTGTATTGGAAATGTCTTAAAACATGTATTTTTTAAATAATGTTTAAGGAAATTTTGGAATTAATTTTATTTTTAGTCATTAAACAGATCACATAACATTATGAAAAATCATAAATAAACAAATGCATGTAAACATAAAATGCTACTGTATGAAAAAAATAATTACTAAAATATTTTTTTAACTAAAAAGTTATCTAGTTTTTTCATTAATGCTTTCAGATATTATAATAATTAAATTCTAAAATCTCTTTTTACCAATTTGTTTAATTACCAAAAATTTTATATAATTGTTAGATTATATGTAATTTTTATAATTTTAATGATGTACAGTACAATACATTAAAATTTGTTATTTAAAGATTTTTATTTATATAGAAATGAACATTATATATAATGCTATATTTTTAAAATTTAATTGATTCACAAACCATAAAAAACATTACAATCCTCAGGACTTTTGTTAGAACATGTGCATCCCCCTTTCAAGTATCATCTCCATTCCTGTCAACATAGTTTCCAATCTCATGATTCCATTTAAAATAGTTAAAAATGTTTATACTCAAAAAGTTTCTGTGGACTGTAAGGATTTTTTTGTGGTTTTATGCCATATTTTTACAGTTAAATGAATTTAATTTTTTTAATATTAATTAATTAGTAATTTACTTATTAAAATTTTAAAGAGTTAGAACATTAACAGCAGCTTTGAAACAATGGTAGGGTAATTGAAATGTTTTCCTGGACATTAAAAATACAAAATGCAAAATTTTTAAAGAAAAATAATTAATTTCATATTTTGATACTTATATTTTCAATATGAAAACATGAATTTCATAGTATCTCAATAAATGCATTGTAAAGTAAATTAAAAAATACTATCATTTGAGGTTAATGTTTATTATTATTTTTGGGAATGCATAGCAATTGTTTGCATACTACAAGCTTAAAACTCAAGTTACAACACTCATTAACAGACTAATTTCTATAGCAACTCTAGTTAGATTATTAAATTATTTTACATGTAACAATAGTTGACAATGAATAATTACAAATTAGAAATAAAGTTTAGATTATGATTATATACACAACAATTAAGGAAATTTTAAACAAAATTATTTATACAATTTTTTTTATAGAAAGGTGCTAAAAATTTGGAGTATTTGATAAATTAAAAAATTACCTCTGAATATGCTGGAGGTGGCTGATAATTATAGTCATGTACATAGGCATACATTGGTGTAAATCTGGTATCACCAATAATATCTCCATCATCATCTTCTGTAATGTCTACTGAACCTTCCACACATTCTGCATATGTTGGAGGAGCTAAAAATAAATTAATAATTATTTAGATTGTTCATATAACTTCATAAATAAATACACAAAATATATAGGATTATTTTCAAAAACATTGTAAGGTTAGAGTATTCATTAATAATGATTTCCTATATATTCTTAAATATACAGGGTCTTCCAAAAAAAATGCTACAAATTTAAATTATTTCCAATTATTATTACAATAATTTTATTATCTGAGAACTGTTGTAATGTACTGTACATTAAATCATTGAAAAACTGTCAAAGTTTCACATTTGTGCATTACAGTTTCTCAATGTGTGCACCTTGTGTCATACAGCATATATCCAACTGATATTCAAATTCTTCATATGCTTGTTAAAGCATATCCATTGTCACTCCTTCCATAGCAGCCACAATTCTACAGATTCTGCAGAGTACTCATGTTGCCCAATGATGAATGATTCTAACTTTGTGAGCTGCAGGAAACAAAATTCAGATGATTACTGTATTGGGATACATTGTCTACTTCTTAGATAATAATTAACATAATTATAGTAATTTAAAAAGGTAGCATTTATTTGGAAGATGATGTATTTCTAATTCATTTATAAATCAGATGTTAACTGATGTAATAGAACTATGTCATTATTAAACAGAACATGCTCAGGAAATAATTAACTTATCACACTACACCTTTATTTTGCTGAGATAGTTTTATTGAAAAATGTCATTATTATAATTTTTCTTTTTAGAAACAGAAGAAAAAATTATGGTTAATAGATAAGTATTTTCTAACATAAATTGTTCAATTGAAATAATCAATATTACAAACAAATTATAATTAAAATAATAATTTTTTTTTTTAAAAACTTGTTTTGTTGTCTTACATTTCTATGAAAAAATAAAAATTATTATTAAAATTATCATCTCCAATTTCTTTACTTTTAATCAATTTTATAAAATGTCAAAAATTTAAAACTTATTTATTTCTTTAAATAGTGTTTTTGTTAATTATTTTCATAAAAGAAAAACAACAAATTTGGCAGTATTATCTAACAAGTAAGAGAATTAGCTAATGTCTTTAAATTATTGGCTTAAATCCATAAGTTAGTTTTCAACTGATGCAATGAGAAATACAATACAGATGTGTAATTTGCACATCAGAGTATTTTTTAAATTGTTAAAGTAAGCCATATGAAACGATGGGAAGTATGAAATAATTGAAAATTAAGATTTCCTATATTTATAATGATTTAACATAACATAATAATAATCAATATTTTAAATTTAATTCTGCTATTANGGGGGACCTAATTCTTGCATTCTGTGAAAACGGGTAAGATTGGCTATAATGTAATTATCTTAATATTCACTATCGTTACATTTTGCCCAGCGAAGCGAGTCCTTGCAGCTAGATTCTAAATTACTTAGAAAAACAGTCTTTTATATATAAAAAAAACTATATTACATAGAAATAAAAACCCAGCGAAGCGGGCCTTTGCAGCTAGTAAGCATATAATATAATAATGTAATATGATTCTAACATAATGATAATTATCACGCGATCCTACAGGACTAATTCTAGAAGTTATTTCAATAGAATATAATTTCAAAAGTTTACTCAATATCTTCGTACATGTGGTACCAAATCTCATATAATTGTTTTTCTCAATTGAAAATAGGAATTTCACTATAAATAGGATATATTTACGTAAAAGAAATTTTTGTTTTTTTAGTTAATTATATTCTAGAAAGTTTTAATTAAATAGCTGAAATATTTAGACAGTTCCTAGTTTGTTTTCTTGTTCTTATTTTAGAAAAATAAATTACTTCTCGGAATTTACACGAAAAGAAAAACAAAATTCTTAAGAATAAGTAAATAACTTATTTATATTGCAATAATATTGACAAATTGTATTTTGTAATTACATTCAAATCGATAAGGAATAGCGCACAACGTGTTCAATTTTATACATTAATTAATAATATAAATATGTAAAAGGAAGATACATACTATTTATCTCCAATATGACGACGAACTTCTTGTTCAAGTCTATTTTAATACAAACAAAACGTAAACTAATTTCTGTTGAATGAAGTTTTAATCAAAGCAATACTGTTTATTTCCCAACATATTATTTTGCCGGATTTTTTAAGCATTAACAAAAAAGGCACTATTATCTTTTAACCTTTATCTTTTACTTAATAATGGTAACTTCTGTTTAATTTTTAAATGGAAATTGCAAGCATTAAAACGCTTCCTGTTGAAACCAGTCTTCAAATAACAAAATTTCCGTTGATTTCGATTTAAATTTACATATTTTTGCCTTTGAGATTACAGAGTATCGTTGTAAAGAAATCCATTAACATTTACAAATTTAATGCTAAATTAATTATATTTTCGCAATAAGAATTATTTACGCTGTTTTTATCGACAACATCGGGCCTACTATAATGAAAAATTAATTTTGCGTAATAAATCTTTAATATGTAGGCTACGTTTAATAAGATTGTTCTGTGATTCTGCACGGAATACAATCGGTATTACGGACAGCAGTTTCTGTTTTAAATTCCGTCTGGTGTTCGTAACTAATACAGTACATTCAGAATATCTACGTTTTGTTATATAATCTAGTCTAAAACACTTTGATTTTAAGATTCCGTCAAAATGCACAGAGTTTGAAATCAAATTTTAATTACTATTTCATATATTATTTAGTACGGAGTGATTACAGAATTCCCATGTATGCTAGCCAAGGTTACAGTATCTGTAAGCTCTCCTCTATTCTCCACACAAATTTTTTCTCCATATTCTTCTAGATATTATTCATCTTTGTTGACGACTGGAAATAATTAAAAACAGATACAGTATTAAGGACTGCTTTAAGTCTTCAATTGCTGTAAAACGAAGTTGAGAAATTGTCTTTAATAACGCTCCCAAAGAGAATTGTAACTTGCTATTCCGATTGGATGCATGAGTCTATGTTTCTCTTGAAGGAACCAAATATCAGAAACAACGTGTTCCAGAACATAAATTAAACAACATTACAAGTTTTGCTTATTGTAATCAGGAATTCGTTTATAATTATCATTTTGTTGCTAATGATAAATTTCAAATTTACTTAGACGGTTAATTTAATAACAGCCAACTGACAAAACAGATATTGTAATCAGGGGCGAATTCTCTGGGCTTGCTTAACATGCCCCGTATGCTTAAGAGAAAGTTTTGACTGTCAATATATTATGAGAACAAATTTGACAATAATAATTTATTGTAACGTTATTCGAAGCATTTAACATGGCCAGATTGTATCGAAAGCTTGCTGTACCCAGTCAGCATACATATATTGTGTACAGGGACGGATCTACATAGGGACTAATAGGGCTTAAGCCCTGGGCCTCCAGTGTCAAGGGCCCACAAAAATTGAATTATCATCATAAATTTTTAATACTTTTTCATTATAATATATTTCACGTGTAGTTATAAATATATAATGGGCTTTATAATAGTCCATACTTTTTTTATTCACACCAAATAACGTTTCTGTCTATTGTTTAATGCTAGAGATAGGCCTATTATTCTTAATATAACTTTCAGCATGCCCAAAAATTTTGGTCAGGATTCTCCCGATTGTAATAATGTTGTTCCAATAAAAGCATTAGCGCAGCGGTAAATCAAATTAAATCATATATTTAACCTACTCTTAATACGTCAAACGTTCGATTTAATCTTGCACTTAATATTGTGTACAATACTGCAGTTTAAATTTCGATTTCTGGCATTTGGTTACCTCTTTTTTTTAGTTTCTTCTTATGCTTTCTTCCCTACGGGCACTCAGAGAGCTCTTTTGTCAAGTCCATCATGAATTCGTCCAAACACACAAGCGGACTGATACCCGACATATACGAGACGAACCATCCCGAAAAATTCCAGGGGTTTTTCGACCCGTCCGAATACATTCCTGGCTCTCCCGAACGGTAAGCCGATGCATTAACCTCTCGGTCATCCATCCCTTATATATTCGACTCGCAGTCTGCTATTGTTGAGGGCTGTAATCTTCATTCCTGTTCAATTAAAGTACAATACTGTGGATTGATGAATATGGCAATGTAACACATGGGCGATCTGCTAAAGCAGTGCCTCCCGGGATGTCTTTCTGGAAACTGACCCCTATTTAAAAATTAAATACGTGAAGAAAACTCGGACAATGCATTCGTGGGGAGAGAACCTGTTATAACAAAAGCAGTAAATAAAAATTGCAAAAACGTGTTTCGCCGCATATTATCATCAGTATATAGCCTAGCCCAAAAGCGATCACAATAAGCGGCACTTACAGTATAAAGAAAATACAGTATCCGTTAATGTTACCTATGGTGCCAAAATGGCGGCGCTTCGGTTAGGTTCGTTCCGTTTCCGTTAAATTAACTACATTTTTAATAGACGTTTCCTTTTATTTATTTATTTTGTTCAAGAACTACCGTGAATCAATAACTAGCGACGTTTGGCACTCGGCGGCTCCCCTTCGGGAGGAGTCCCTCTGGACCACGAACAGTCGGAAGCTCGGCCATTTTGGCATCATAGGTAACATTAACCACAGTATTTTTAAAAATTAAACTCAAACTTTCTCCTAATGAAGCAATATTCAAATAAATTGTATTTAAAGTTCAGTCACGTTGAATAATAATAATAATAATAAAGAAAATAAACCTCAATATTTTCTAAGATCTTTTCGTGATGTTCGATGTTATTATTAAGCGAATCTTGCAATTCTTCAAACTTTTTAACTTCTTCGGGCAATTTAAATAATTGTTTAATTGAATCTTTTATATCCATCATTAAAATGATTTTCCAGCAGCAACAACAAAATGGCGTCTGATTTTAATTTTATAGCGACATCTACAGGAGTTAATTGTAAAATAATTAAAATTTCAAATATTTATTGATATTTTAAATTCAATATTTTTAATTTTCAAATGATTTAAATATATATAAAAATATTTAAAATTTTTACAAATGTATTTAAATATTGCATTTCTAAAAAAAAAAC